ATGGTTTCTCTGCTCTTCTTCAACCCACAGACATACCGACAGCCACACTCTCAGTCTTGAATGTCTTGTTTTTGATCGTTATTAATATGATTCAGAATAAAATAGGGCATCCAAAAAGTCCAAAAGCAAGAGTGAAACAGGTCTTGATAGCCCCTTTTCAGTCTAAACCCAAATCAGACCCTCATACGTACCACTTTGATATTTTGCGTGTGATCAGACAGTAACGTGAGACTGGATTTCACAACGAAGTGAACGTGCTTCAGTGACTAATATAAAACAGACCTGACTATCACTATTTGGTAACAAGATCTTGGCTTTTTGCTTGATCATGACAGTGTATCATAAGAAAGTTTTTTCGCACGCCGATAAAGAAGAGAAGGAATGAAACAATACTTGATGTGAGGTCGACAGCGACTGGTAAATTATTGAATATATTAAGATAGTGTAATTCAAATAAATTTGCTTCGGCGAGAAAGCATAAATGCTGGTCATTCTGAGAATTATTCTATTTATTATCTCAGCTCTGATCTCAAATGCAGTGTGTCCTCTTATACAACACATAGAATACTATGAAAACGGAATTGTTTGATTGTATTTACTACGCCAACGATCAAACAGTAAAATATTGTAGACTCCTAGGTCGAGACTTTCAGTTTCGAAGGGATTCTTCCAAGTGAGTAGCAGGAGGCGAGAAATGATCTTTTAACAAACTGCTCGAGCACAATATCACTTCGTGGCAAGTACTTTTCTGGAATTCGAGTGTGGAGGCAGCCGATGATTATGATCGTGTTTTCTATAATTGATCGATGATAGTTCCATCAGACAAGTTCTTATGCAAATGTGCACAAGAAGTGTCGTTTAGTAAGTACTGTGAGTACCAGTTGCTCTTCGATCCAACTTCATTCAACAAAGCTATGATGATTGCACTCCAATATAAAATTTATCATAAAGGACATCAAGTATTTGGCTCTGTTTGACGCTATGGAAACACTGTCGTTTTGTATGTATGGAATGCTCTATCTGGATTGGCTCAATTTCTGCGATGATCAGCAAGATTGTATGGATGGACTTGATGAAGAGAATTGTGACAAGCTGGAATTCAACGAATACGAAAAGGGCCAGTACCGCTGTATAGATGGCACGTATATTGATGAAGAATACTGGCTCGATGGTAAGGGTGTGGATGTGGGTGTGGCACTTGAATGAAACAATATTCATAACCACACTTCAGAACCAAATCACTCCTCTCACCCACATCCACACTCATACTCGACACTCACACCTACACCCTCGTTTTAAGTTGATGATCAAGTATTATGTGAAAATTGAATGATCTAATAAGATTCATAATTTATATTTCATGAATTGATTGCTTTTGTACAGTGAGTATCAATTACTGTCAGTTCATATTTCCAGTATAGTTGTCTCATATTTTTCGCTAACCATCAGACCTTATGCTTCCATGCCATGTATTTATTCTTTTTAAAATGTGAGGTATGGAGAAAGAGATGACTCACATCCATAGATGCAACTTGGTTTGAATTATTGTACATTTAGATGTAAAAAGTACTGGATTCCATTCATGAGAAAATTCTTGCCTATGTGCTTGTTCTTCAAGTGATTAAAGTAGATAAAACTCAGTAAATAATACATCAACGAATGCAGCAGAATCATGAACATAATCTGGGACAGTGTTCGACCCGGATCGGGTCGGGTTACGAAAAAAATTTTTGAGCTCGGGTCGGGTCACAAAAGTTTTACGAATTCCGAACTTCACATAAGAAAAGCAGCAACTTTAGATGAGATAATCATTTCTTTATTTCGAATACCTATAGAATATGTATCGATTTACTGAGAAAATTGTCAATGTCTGAAAAAAACTCACTTTTATTGGCCAAAAACTATCCCTCATCTGGGGTCGGGTTACGAAAAAAATTTTTGAGCTCGGGTCGGGTCACAAAAAAAGTGACCCTTGTCGGACACTGGTCTGGGATGCAAAAGAGAAGTCGACAAGTTTCGCAAGATGAAAGACGATAGACGATCTTACGTAGTGATTGTACAATTTTTGCCACATGAATATGAGACGTGGCAAAAATAACACGTTTTGCTAGCTAATGAATCATCGAGTCTCAAAAGACAAGCTATTGCTTCGACACATCTATATATAAATATGTGTGTGTTTGTACATTTAACGACATAGAAAAAAAAATAAATCTAGAGTGCATACTTAAATGGGTTCATTACTCAGCAAGATCGCATCCAACTTTTCTCGAAAAGAAGATGTACGCGTACTCATGTGGGGTCTCGATGCAGCTGGTAAGTTTACTTTTATATTTCTATTGCTGACTTATGGCGTCTCCAATTTAGGTAAAACGACTGCTCTCTATGCCATGAAACTAGATGAAGTTGTAGCAACAATTCCAACGGTCGGTTTTAATGTTGCGTTTAGAAGTCTCCAGTCAATAAGAACACAGATGATCACATAGCATATGTTTTGCTAAGAGCATTTAGTTGTTTTTAAAATTTTTTTCTTATGATTACCCGTTCACTACCTTTGAATCTATTCAAGGACATCGAATAGAGATAATACTAAGAAAAATATTTCAAAGGATGTAAGTTGCTGTTAGCAACATAAATTATGTAATCATATCTATTCTTGCTGATTGTAGAATTATAAGTGAATTCGGAATAACTCTTTGTGACTTTTATATAATGAATTATTCGATTCTTGTTTTTTTTTGTATATTGGTCCTAATTCTATAGAGAAATTTTTGAATGTCTATCGAAACATTTAACTAATCAATAGATAAAAATGATGTCGTGTGCTTCACGAACGTTGAAGAAAAATATTAATAAATTTAAACTAGAATGTATGTATTTCGTATCTATTTTAATAGTTAGAGTCACACCACTTCCGAGAAAGAGAGTTTGCTGAATATCTCAAAATTTTACAGTAGTCAAATATCAACATTGGCTGGTTGCTAACATTGGAGATATCGGAATTTGATACTTTGTGAGAAATATCTACTTTTAATTTCAGTTAAGCAATCTCTTTTACATTTGCTCATTTTTCAGAATATATTCTTCAAAATCTATACAATATTCTGATAAAAGATTGATAAGAATCCTTTTTTTTTCCAAAAAAAACCTATCTCAAATATAACTGATGATTGTTTAAAGTCAAAGAAACATCAAAGTAAAAAAAAGAGGATGTGGGTGAGGGTGTGAATCTTTCATTCTCTCATATACCCACATCCACACCCACACCCTTTTCGTCTATCGTACACCGTCGATTGTGATTGAATTTTCAGGATTATGTACATGTCTCACTCAGGGTGATGATCGAATAGTCGATGTATGTCGATACTTTGGAGCACTCATCGTTGCTGCCATTTGTGGTGAGACTACACACACATTACTCAGTCGTCAGTTTTAAGACGATCATAGAGATTGGTTTGACTGGAAAGACCTTCATTCAAATGTACACTTTGTAACATTAAGATCGTAGAAACAATTTGGTGGCTTGAACTATGGAATTCATTGTACGAATGATATTATTCAGACATTCGAAGCAGTCCTATGGGCATTTTGGAATAATAACAATTTTCAACAAGATGTCCTTCATACTGTAAATCTTGGTGATGATACAAAAGCTACAGCAGCTATCTATGATCAAATGGCAGGTGCCTACTATGGTTACGATCGAATTCCTATACAATGGGTCAATCAACTTTATGCGAACAAATTGATAAGTTGTACTGCTGAATGGTTATATTTTATATTGGATCGTAATTCGAAAATAGATGAAAAAACATAAAGAAATAAACAATAGAACATTTTCATCATCTCAATTACAATTACTAAATTCAATGAAGATGACAACACAAAAATAATTCATTCAGCTATGACTCTAAATTCATTACAGTATCAAAATGATAGCGAACTTGTCACTTTGTCGAAAACAAAATATTGTCCAATAATATTCGGAAAGATTTTCATCGCAAGAAAGTAGTAGATAATTATCCATCATCATGGAATTGGTCTAGACCAAAGACAAAATAACGATCGACAATAACTCGGCGTGACATAGCCAATGATTTTGTCTCTTATTCTCATTTCATATTGATTTCTTTACATATTCAACCGTTTAATTGAACGCTTAACCAAAACTATGGAAATAGAGGTGAATTTTTCGATTCAAAATAAAGGTAGTTTTCTCTCGTTATGAACATAGCAGGAAGTGGGTGTGGGTGAAGGTATGGATCTTTCCTTTACTCACACTCACACCCCACACCCAACCCTAGGTTTAGCTTCTTCACACACATCATAGGTTCCTAATATAGCTGCATTCTAGCACAAAAAACATTTATAACTATTAGTAAGATAAAGTAAGAATGAAACGGTAAAACGACGCATAATTATCTATTCCTTATGTTCTGACCAAGTTTTATCAGTAGGTGATAAAAAGTAATGCGCTTGTGTAACTATAAAATAAAATGAATATAAAAAAGGAGTGTGTTAGATGCGCAGCAAGTTTTATTGGTGGTCTCATGCCTTCTTTGAATTAATTGCGTAATAGATAAAAATTAAACTATTTCAGTAGTTCTTTCATGGTCGTTACCTAAGTAAGGGAAAAATAAACTGTTCATACTATCTGTTAGGTAAAAGTTCTTCGAAGTTAGAGATTTCTTGATCTGAATCGGTCAACTCGTATATGTGTTCGATTATTCGTATTCGACGATCATCTTATAATAATAAATTTATAACTAATTGTCATTCTAAGTCAGCGCAGCTCGGATGTAATACTTTCGAACCGGGATCGAATCTGCAACAAATTCTCACATTAGGCACCGAAGAACTCTATTATGGACTTGATCAGGATGCGAGTTTTAAACTAAAAATGATTTCATACTAGTCATGAGCTAATACATTGAGCAGCGTACATTTTCGAAAAAGGAATATATTTTGTTTTGAAAAATCTTCTTATTTTTTTAGATAAGATGCTATCATCGATTCTACTTATCCTTTGTATCAGTATTGTACCTTCGTTTGAGAATGATACTGTTGTATTCAAAAAAGGTGAAGGTGGTTATTTTTGTTTCCGAATTCCGGCAATCTTAACTACCGCCAAAGGTACTTTAATAGCATTTTCTGAGGCACGAATATTTAGTTGTGCAGACGAAACTCAAATAGATATCGCTTATAAACGAAGTTTCGATAATGGAAAAACATGGTCGGATTTAAAAATAGCATGTCGAGGAAATGATACAAATGATGGTTATACTCGAGCAGGCAATCCTGCTCCAGTACAATTAAAATACAATCAAAGAATTTTATTACCATTTTGCAAAAATAATATTATTCCTATGCAAACCTATTCAGATGATGATGGTTTAACATTTTCTCCACCACAAGTTATACATAATATAACAAAACCTGATTGGAAATGGCTTGCTTTAGGACCACCTGGTGGTCTTTTATTACAATCGAATCGAATAATAATTCCAGGTGATTTTTCAACAAATGATAGCCATCTTTCGTCTAGCTTTATTATGTATAATGATTTTAATGGTCAAGTAGATCAATGGGTTTTAGGAGTAAACTTTAGCCTTGAAAATTATCATCCAAATGAATGTCAAGCGGTCGAATTATTACCTATTGCAAATTCAATATTTATCAATGCTCGTTCAGATAGTACAGTAAGAATTGGCGCATATAGTGATGATGGTGGAATTACATTTAATAAAGCTATTGCACTAAATACACTTATACAACCATTACATGGATGTGAAGGTTCAACAATTTATCATCAAAACACTCGTCAAATATTTTATTCAGGTGTAACTGACACATCTATCCGCCATAATCTTTCATTACATATAAGTAATGATAATGGTGAAAACTGGAGATTTGTAAAAACAATATGGCCAGGTCCATCAGCTTATTCATCATTAACAATACTGAATGATCAATCGGTAGGTATATTGTATGAAGCTGGAACTATGAATCCATATGAAACTTTAACATTTACTATAATTTATAATCAAACTGAAATGAAATTTATTTGAATTGAAAGGGTGTGAGTGTCGATGTGGGTGGGGATGGATGCAGATACACACCCACACCCCGAATCCAATGTCATATTTCGATGATATTGTTATGCTTTTATTTTGATTGTCCTCTTCTCTACCAATTTTCACAATTAACATTCTAACCCATCGATAGAACCGAGAGAGAAAAAAGTGGAGAGGTTACTATATGTAACATAAGAAAGGAGACACACTAGATGAACAAGATTATAGAAGAGCCATTGTGGTCTGCTATCAAGATTTAAATCTTTGGGATAGAGACAAATTTTTGTCAAAGAAAAAAATTCAAAAGAAGAACTGACATATTAACGTCAACCAGTGAACGATATATTTTTGCTAGCTAAAACGAAGAAATAAACTGAGACGGAAAGAATGTGAACAAGACGAAAAGAGATGCAGAACAACAAATACTTCTATACTGATAGAAATCGGAGGAAGAGAAAAAACACACTTTGATGGTTGTGCGCTCGAGACTGGAAGGAAAAGAAAAAAACAAACTAGAATGGCAAGGAGAAAGAGAAAATAGATATCGACCGAGAGTGAAAGGACAAAGAAGAAGATGGGACGATGATGGGAAAGGAAGAAAGGAATAGAGTATCTGTAAAGCTGAATTCTCATGAATCTATATGACGCTGAACACTTTGCATTCATGTGATATTCAATAGAACACACTTGAATATCTTTTCAGAGACACAAAAAATCGAAGTAGCAGCAGCATCATTAGAAAAATACGTCCGATCAAGCTGGAAATGTTATTACTTCTAGGACCAATTATTACTAGTTCATGCTCGAAGTTTGACTTTTCTAGCTCGAGTTCCCACCATAATTTGGATCTCAGAGCTGAGAAAAAGATATTTTTACTGAATTTTTTCTCAAAACTTCGTAGTCTTAATCATGTCACCTTGAAATTTGACTTTCGAGTTTTTTCACAAATAGTGTTCTTAATGTGACTACTAGTTCATGGCTAAAATGTCAACTATTTCGAATTGGACTTACAATGAAATACGAATATAAGCACAAAACTTGTTTGTTTTTTTCACACAATAAAATTTTCAATATTCTTACTCACACCCTCGGCTGCTATGGCGAGAAAAGTGCGAAAGATAGTAAAACTGAAAACTCTCTCTTTGTCTTCTTCGTATCGACTTCATCGAAGAAATTGCTTTTGCCCCTGACAAATTTTTCCAATTGCCAACTTGAATAGAGTGTGGATGAGGTGGATGGTGTTGTGAATGTGGACATGAGTGTGAGTGTGAGTGAAGAGAGAGCACACATGCACACCCTCGATGATACTTTTAGGGATGATTGAAGTACAGCGGGGCTATATATGCTCAAAGTTTCAGCTTGATCTGCTTAGATGTCACTAGAGAACTAGCATATGCTTTCAGTGATTCCACAATCACTCCTATTGTGAATAATTACTTAACTTCGGTTTTTATATAAACATATATCCCTTATGAGCCTCTATTAATTGGTGAAACTCGCAGGTCTCTAGCTCGTTCCTGGCTTTTGTTATTCAAAAAACAGGGACGGCCATTCTATTTTGAAACGGATAATAGTTTTAGTTTTACTTCTAGTCTAATAAACTAGTGCAATACACTGAAAGTGAACAGAGTTGCGTTCATTAAAATAAGGAGAAAATCAAATAGTCATGAGCACATAAATTGTAATGCAAACAATTTGAATTTTAACGACAGAACTTCATTAAAACATGTTGTTGAGCTACCAGTCATGAACTACAATAAAATCCGATATACGTGTAAAAAAAGCACATCCCACTGGGTCTCGAAATAAACCTCTAAAAAGGATAGAAAACTAAGGAAGTCGAGAAAAAGATGAATTAAATGCAGCATATGGTGATGAGAGAAAACAATCGTTCAAACTTATTTCTTCAAATATCAAACTTATAGAAAGATCTGTTTTTATATAAACATGCTTGCTTGAAAGCAATAAAGTGAACCACGACGAGAAAGATTGTGCCAAGAGATACGCCGATGTGACATGCTATCACCAGTATGCAACATCATCCTTGAGTTATTTTACTCTTATTTCATATCATCCTTGTATGATGTTAACGTTGTATCTTTACGTAATACTGTGCAATACTGTTTCAATACCTTTGTAACTGCTGTGCTATTCATTGCATGTATGCTCATTGTTCTCTTTTCACTCCGAGAGATTACCGCATCAAATAGATGCAAGGATAAATCGCTGAGAAGGAGAGAGAAGAGAAGAGAACAATCGAGAGTATTCTCAATGGATATTGCACAGTGTGAAGGATGCAGCTCACTCAAGGTTACACATCTTTCTTAGATGGTATATATATGTTGGTGTACAAGTCATATACTTAGAGCAGTTATAGTGTGTTTAATATAGAGTGTGTTATATAGAGATTTAGATGTTTATAATAATGTGTGTTACTATCAAGAGAGAAATAGAATCACGTACAGCAGGTAACGGAATTGAGGCTGAAGAGATGATAAACAGAGTAAGGCCTTAAAATACGTGATCCAACCACGCGGTTACTCATCTTTCTGCATTGTATCCTTCACGTATTATCAATTTCCCGTTACAGTTTTCTTCCGAACTAACTAAGAAGATAACAAAGTATTACACAACATATGCGACTGAATATTTTTCATGTAAAAAACGAGTGTTTGACTAGAAGGTGACAGAGAGAAAAAAGAAATAGAAAAGGATGGAAAGAAAAAAAATAATATTATTGTTGATAAGGTCGCTCTCACAATGCACCGTGTGGCCGATGACGAACAAACGTATTTATTATATAAAGTGGTGCACGAAGGTGCGTTTGCTTAAAATACAATCCAAGTAATCGTGATGTCGTACGCTGTAACAGGTGCAACTGGTCATGTCGGTTCTGCCGTCGTCGATTATCTTCTTGCTCAATCGCTTCCTGTTCGTGCTGTCATTCGCTCTGAAAACAAAGCAGAATCCTTTCGATCACGACATGTCGAAGTGGCCATTGCCGATTTAATCGACGCCGAGGCATTGACCAAAGCGTTTCAAGGAGCAAAAGCAGTTTTTGCTATGAATCCTACTGCTCTTACCGATCCGGATTTACAAGCTGCCGCAGTTAAGGTTAGTGATGCTCTGGCATCGGCGATTAAAGCAGCCAAAGTGGAACGCGTAGTTGTTTTGAGTTCTGAAGGCGCCGATAAAAGTTCAAAAACGGGAAATATTCTGACAGCTCATACACTAGAAGAAGCATTGAAGGGAACTGCTCCTCAAGTAGTGATGGTTCGATGTGCTTCGTTTATGGAGAATTGGAACAATACCATCTCGGCAGTCAAATCAGGTCAGTCATCGGTTCTTGATTCAATGTTTCAAAAATTAGATCGAAAAATTCCCCATGTCGCTACAAACGATATTGGTCGTGTTGTTGCTGAGTATATGACCAAACCTAATAGCGAAGTTGATAAATTGGTCATTATCGAACTCGAAGGACCTGAAGATTATAGTCCAAATGACGTGGCCAAGGTGATCAGTGATGCATTAGGGAAGACTGTTCCAGCAGCTGTCATGACCGAAGAGATGATCCGCGGTCTTTTCAACAAATTAGGCTTCCCAAAAACAACGGTGGATAATTATATCGAAATGTTTCAAGGATTTGACAATAATACCATTTGTTGGACAACAGGTGAAAATGTCATTCGAATCAAAGGAAAACTCACTTTCGCTGATGTTCTCAATAAAAATTAATATTGACGTTTTGGATTGCGTTGAACTTAGAAAACCGCATAGTTTGTTTCTGTCCATATACGGGTGTGAGTGTGAATGAAAAGAACAGAATTACCCACATCCACATCCACACCCGTGAATATTCTGATTCTCTATCGAGTTTATATATATATTCCCATTGTCATTGACGACTTTACGTTGTTATGGAATTTGCAAAGCATATCATTTCTCTTTCTCACGTGTACTCTTCATTTCTTTATACTGTTTTTATAATTCAAACTAAACAAATGGAATTCTATGGAAATAATCAAGCTAATGACAAGTCCCCCAACTCATACACTAGTGATGACAACGATGAGAGTGACTTCGATCTCGGTCACGATGAACTAATCGATAACTTAGATCAACTTGACGAACTTGAAGTTTCTGATGAAAATTTGGATACATATGTAGAGGAACTGAATTTAATGAGAAAAAAAATTCGGTCTTCAAATGGTTAAAACTTAATGCAATTATTTCTGTAGCATGTTTTCTTTTCTCAAGAGACTAAATAGGTACTTTCTATGAGTGCGTTGCGATTTATACTCTTTGATAGGCATTTTTATTCTTACAATAACGATCGCTATTATCTAGTTCGAAAAATTTACCGATCTGCGTTGCTGGTTTTCACATTACCCAGAAAATTTATGATAAAGTCTAAACTTGAATCCTTGTGTACATTATGAAGTGGGCAGTGTTCTCTGTAAATTCAAATGTACTTGATTAGAATAAAATAAATTTTCATTAGAATATTTGAAAACATTTTGATTTCTATATTTTTTATCAAACATCAAATCTTTAAAACACAGTTATAATATTTTATTGTTTTTCAAAATATTAATAATTCTATCAACTTGATACCAAACGTACTTTTAAAAAAATTCGTTTACTTAGTATTTTTTTCCTAATGTTTGCTAATGAGAGGCAGCACATCAAAGTATAATTTTACTTTTTCGTATATGACACATACACTCTTTTCCAAGGAGAAACTAAATTCAAGAGACCAACTGTGACCATGATAAAATATCAATTATTTTAGTCCTTTAGTTAAAAACCTTAGACTTCAAGTAGAATGTTATTTGACACCGATGAGAAAGGCATTATTGACAGAAAGAAAAATAAACAGAACAAGAAAATTCTTTCTTGAGAAAAACAACAA